GGGGGGATCGTAGAATAAAATTCTCATAAGAACTGATATCCTCGAAACGATCACACGATCATAGAGTAGAAGAGCGCAAATGTTCTCTCGTGCCTGTAACCGTAGAAAAAGTTCAGATATTGAACTTTATGATTCTTTTATGTGTTATTTTAGCTAAAACTATCAATTGGAGAAGGTAGCAAAAGAATCCGCATCGTTTTGGGTAATGAAACCTGTGACTTAGATTCCGCCATATCGGCCTTAATTCAAGCTTTCTCGGAGCATTTAGACGGGCTTAAAAAAGGAGGCCCGAAATTTGTGGTAATTCCATTGATGAACATATCTAAAAGAGAATATTTCTTGAGAACAGAAGTTGTATTCTACTTAATGCAGCACAACATAACTTCCAATTTGTTGACATTTCGGTAAGTTAAAAATAAGGAAAGGGGGCAAAGAATGGAGAGAGGATCGGAAATATTCAACGCATACGTACTTACAACGACTGTATTGAGAGAGTTACATATTGCGTTCGTAGGGATCAGATAGATTTGGAAGATTTAACGAAGAATGTAAAGAAGAAAGTGGAAGTAATACTGGTTGATCATCACACCCTTCCGGACGAAGATGCTTTTCTACTGGACTCTGTAGTGAAAATAATCGATCACAGGCCACAAGAACCAGGCTGGCTTTGGCCTGATAGAGAGACGCATATGGAAATTGTAGGCAGCTGCGCGACGTTAGTGGCGCGAAATTTCTGCGACAAGCACCCGGAAGCGGTGGATTCTCGGATATCGAGACTTTTGTTAGGTAAGTGGATAAGCTGTCGGTGGTCGATAGATTGCTAGAATAGTATTTAGGTATGGACATATTTGTACACGTGTTGATAAAAACTTTGAACAGGTCCAATCTTGGTTGATACTTTTAACTTGTCGGCCGAAGCCGGTCGCGCTAAGAACGAAGATTTCCAAATTGTCTCGAAACTCGAAAGTATCGCATTCCCGCAAGTTGCCGACAAAGGGGCTCGTACCGCTGAACTATTTCACGAGATCATCGAAGCAAAGTCTGATATCAGCAAACTCACCACCGATGATCTTTTGATCAAAGATTTGAAAATAACTGCCGGGGTGCCGATCGTCGGGTTGCCCATATTGGTGGAGGTAAACTGCATACATAAGTACATAAATACGTACGTACGTATAACGTTGTTATACATGCCTGAACGTATTTTTCGATCAGCTACACGATGCAATAAATAAAAAAAAATCGATAACGTTGAAAACTGAGGAAATAATGAGCTTTTTTGCATCGTCACAATTGGAAGAGATATTCAGGTGGCCTTACTTAAAAGGACTCCAGCGATAGTTGTTGGGTGCGTGAACCATTTCGTATTTTCAGAATTTTGTCCGCCTACCAGATAGTCTGAAAGCTCTTTGGAATTTTGCGAAATCTAGAAAAGCAAAGGTTGTCGTTCTGATGGGACTAGAGGTTAATTCGGGAAAATTATCTCGAGATATCGCTGTTTCTTCGTTTCTGCCGTACTCTAAAGACAGTCAGGATATCAGCAGCTACAATCTCAGATGTAAGGTTAGCGATCGTTCAAACTCTTTCTCCTTTATCCTTATGGATCGTGTAGGTGGGATTATGGATCGACTTTATCTAATTAACAGATAGTAAAAACTCTGATGGAGTCTACCGAGCCGTGTCTCGAGTTGAAATTGATTCGACAAATTAGCGAATTGCAAGTTCCCGGATGGAATGTTTTGCATGGATCTTTATCAGTGGTTGTTTACACGATGGGAAATGTACACGTCTCGCGAAAACAAGTCTTACCAATTATTCGGGACTTGGTAGTAGCAACAGGCTATCAAGCTACTCGCGAACGTTTTCACGAAGTTGAACCTGGGAAGGAAGGATGATAAAGCGGCTACATCGGAGCGTTGGAGTATAATATCGGTGGTGAGATACCATTTCTACGGTTATTTAACGGTGCTCGTTGCGACAAATCAGGATGTGTTCGTATAAATAAGACTCCTATAGGCAACTATCGTAATGTATATGAACCGGTGTAACTTGTAAATAAACGGAAAAATAAATAAATAAATAAATAAATATATAAAGGAGTAAATAGAGATAGTTGCACGCATACGCCGGAATTCTCAACACCGGACCTATCGAATCGTAAAACAGGTTGAACGTTAAGATAGGAGAGATAGGAAAAGAGAATACTCCCCTACAGCCCGTTCCGCCCCACTCTTCCTCACGCAAGCTCACTATCTTGGAGCAAGCTCACCACGGACCGATATCCTGGATGCTGGACTAAAGCTATGCACCAAAGCGGAGTTGAAATCGAACCACGTCTCGCGAACGAACGTGTTTGCGGAAATATAAGAATCCGCGATCAACAAGCCGTTATTCTGACAGACGGCAGTGCAGCAGGCAACGCTGATTTTCTCCACTTTTCCTCCTCTACCTAATTAGGAGGAGGTTCAAATGTATGTGCGTTCAGGTACGTGCGCATATACAACGTAAAAGGAAAATTGTGAAATTGCAACAGTTTGTTGTACTTGAATTACTCGATTTGCTTCAGAAATGTGGTGAAATTGTGAAAAGTTGACGTTTTCACGGTGGTACATGGGAAAAGTGGCAGATGCGGTCGCGAGCTTAAAAGGTAAGGATTTCTTACTTTTTTATCGCAATTTGATATTAGCGGTGTTGCGCTTAGGGTAACGGTTAGAAAAATATCGAGAAGCAAAGCGTTCGTTCACGTATGTATTTATGGTATGTATGAAACAACCATTCGCATTCTCTCCACATGGACGTGAAGATTAGACCAATTAGACCCAAAACTGTCGTACCACAGGACCAAAAACGATTAGAACTTTTTAGAACGATTAGAAGAGAGAGTGTGACCAGTTGTCGTTCTTCTCACGAAGAATCGTCGCGTTTATGAAATACATATGTACTTAGGTACTTGTTCTATCTGATGATGAAAAGATAATAAGAGAAGAGAAGAGAATAGGATAGGATGAGTATTTTAAAGAAGAGCGTAGGTGCGTAGGTGCGTGTACGTGGCTGTGACGAATTAGAATAGAAGAGATAGTGGAGAGCGACGGAATGGTTAGGCGCGCTCTTCCTTTCTCTACACAGGCTCGTATTGATCGTGGTTTACTTGTTGCACGCATACCTATCCGTGCGCGACCTCATGCGCATTCCCTAACCCTCTTTGTCTTCATTTTCCATCCAAGTGAATCTAATTAACGTGCAACTACCGTCAAATGTTGTAACGGTCAGAGTATCGTAGAAAGGATATGTACACGTACATTATGTGTTTATGTATGTAGACCGATAGGCGACCTCGAGAATCCTAGATGTTCGTAAATCTTTCATAGTCAGGATTATCCAGTTCGATACGCGTTTGAAAACCAATATCGTTTCGCGAGTCTTCTCCCTCTAATTTTCCCTTCATCTTCTGTATCTTCGTTTCCATTCGAAGGAAGAAAGTTTGTACTATTTCACGGTAAGTATTGTAGAATGAGTGGTGGAATTTTACAGTTGCAAGGATCGAAGGATGATAGGAAAGGACTAGGACCTATAATGACCTGTAAAAGAATCGAGTGCAGTGCGAGGAGCGGATATCAAGATGCGGTGTACGTTAACGGTTGTCTGGTTGGGAGTGGTGCTTGTGGGTGGTGGCTCGGGTTCGCGCGACCAGGATTCGACCAGAAATGTTTTCGGTAAGCGAATCAAGGGATGTACAATAGTATGTAATAAGTAGCGTGGACGAGGTGTTTACGCAAGCACGTTTACAGAGCAATGTATACTTCCGCTCGGTATGGAGGAGGGAAAGATTCCGGATGACGCGATCACCGCTTCTTCCAGTTACGAGACAAAATCGGTGGGCCCTCAAAACGCGAGGTACGTGTATACATTGTGATTTCAGAAAGAAAATTTCAAAGAGTAGAGTAAGAGTAGAATCGGGACGATTCTGTTTGGAGCGTGTTTGCAGGATACGACAAGAGAAGAATGGTGGCGCTTGGTGTCCAAAAGCTCAGATTAGTAGCGCGATACGGGAGTATCTGGAAATTGACCTGACGAGAAACCATCTAATCGCATGGACCGAAACTCAAGGACGGTTTGGCAATGGTCAAGGTCAAGAGTACGCGGAGGCATTCTTTCTAGAGTATTGGCGCGACATGCAGTGGCATCAGTATAAAAATTTGAAGGGTGACAGAGTTCGTGTCCAAGATAAATCGACCGGAAGTCGTCTACGTTGCTTCGAATCTCGTATACGTAACGTGTAAAAAAAGCATAGGAATAGTTATTTGTCGAGAGCAACGTTTCCTCCGGTGAAAGAACGGAACGTTCGTATCGGTAGATTGTCGTGATCCAATCTTGTTGGAATTTCAGGTGCTACGCGGGAATAGCAACACCTACTTGGTGGAAAAGCAGAAGCTGGATTTACCGTTCGTCGCGAGTAAAGTGCGATTCGTACCTTACAGTCAACATCCTCGGACGGTGTGCATGCGAGTCGAAATTTATGGATGCGTCTGGCACCGTAAGTGAATACATATTTTTCGATGGAGAGAAATTCCAGTAGTAGCTATCTATTGTATAATTGTGTTTCCTCCTAGAATATTTGACGAGTTACAGCGCACCCAAGGGATCGAGCATCGGCCCCGCGGGATCCGATCTCCGGGATTCCTCGTACGACGGTATCGAAGTCGACGATTCGCTTCTTATCGACGGTCTCGGTCAACTGACGGACGGAATATTGGCCGAAATTTCCGAAATTCTCTCCTTTCCGAACCCGATCACGACGTGGACGACAACGACGGCGACGGCGACCACGACCACGACCACGACTACAACTACGACTACGACTACCACGATGACGACGACAACGACGGCACCACCACCACCGATGACAACGACGATGAGTTCAACGACGACGAGCTCGACGAATGCCGGTACCAACAACTGGGTAGGTTGGTCGAACCGGTCTACCGTACGGATTATTTTTCACTTTCAACAGCTACGAGAATTCGACAATTGTTCGCTTCACGTGGCTCGTATACCGGAACTAGAAGTCGAGGTTCGTCTATACGCCGTCACTTTTCTTACGCGCGTCAGAATACACGTACACGTATTGGACGTTGTTCATCGTCGTTTCAGACGTTCTCGATGTTGCGCGTTTGGCTTTCCGTCGACGGTGAAACTTATCAATCGGAACCAGAGGAATTGGAGGCGTCGCTCGATACCGATCACCCTGCACAGACCGCCGACACCGCTTCTCTGTCGATCCCTTTGCGGTCTAGAGTTGGACGATTTGTGAAAATGGAACTAAGCCTTACCGCGAAATGGCTGCTTCTTAGCGAAGTCACCTTCCACACGGGTAGGTAAGAATTTCTAGAAAAATGATCGATCACGTTCTAACGTTACCTGGACACAGTTGCAGCTAGTTCGAGCGACTCCTCGTCCCGAGCTTCTGACCAGAATCAGAGCGAGCCGCGAGCAAAGTCAAGCAACTCTCTCGGTACGATATTGGGCTTGTTGAACGAAACGGAAATGTACGAAATTGAAGAAGAGGCTTCGACGCCAGACGCCTTCCCCGTTGGCACTTCTCAAACGTACATAGGTCTTGTCAGCGGTCTCTTGACCGTTACTCTCCTCTTCTTCACTTGCACAGCCCTTCTGATCAAGCAAAGAGGCCGCAACAAAGTCGCTCTGTTGCAAAAGCACACGGCTCTTCTCTGTGATTCGTCCGCTCCAAAGGACGCGAAACTGTCTAACTCGATCGTAACCGGATTATCCTTAATTCGCAAGCCCGCCTGTAACGCCGAGAACGCCGAGGCGCCGCAAACTCAACCCATCTTATTCGCTCCTCCTCGTCGTTCGTCCACCACCACCACCACCACTTTGTATGAGAGAACGTACAAGCTATTCTCCGAAGACAATCTCACCCTTGCAGAATCGAACACATCCGCTCGTGTGACCGAATCCTATTCCGGTGAATTCTCTTTCACACCGTTCGCCACGTTTTATTCTTTTCGTTTCGGTTCATCTTAACGACACGCAGCTCTCTTCCAGATTTTAAATGCAACTCGAGCTTCGCATCGAACAAGTTTAACGCTACCACCTATTCGATGTCGAAGAAGCCGCATCGTTTTCAGCCGGCAAAGCCGAATCAAAGAGTCCATGAAGGATATTACGCGGCAACGGATATTTTAACGGTAGGATACGACCGATCGTAACACGTACTTACATAGTATATGTACGTTAAAAACGTGCACCGAGTCTGAAAAATTTTGTTACGCTTCTAGATAAAGAAACACGAGTTGCCGTCCGAAACTTCCAGTTCGTTCACGCCTCTCTATATTCGCGATAAAGCTGTACGTTTACCGCGTACGATCGACTCGTGTAACGTTCAGCGCATTTCCAGGCACAGATTGAGGATTTTGGATAAACTTGGGGAAGGAAATTTCGGCTTGGTAAGAATAAATCTCTCGTCTATTCACACTTCACAATTAGACAAAAACTCTAAATCGGATGAAATGAAATCGAACACACGTGTATAGGTACATTTATGCGAAGCAAAGGGAATCACGAATCCGGAAATGGGAACGATCCAAAACCGGCAAACCGTAATCGTTAGATCGCTTTGGCGAGGAGTTGTAGACGCTTTGAGGTACGTTTCTTTCCTTCTCCTTCGTACACTGGTATTTTGTCATTTCGATCGTCGTATGGCTAATTTCGCGTTTTTCATTGTACAACAGGTTGGACTTTACGAAGGATATGCACGTTTTGGCGATGCTTCGGCATTCAAACGTGGCAAAGATGATCGCCTTGGTGGAAGAAGAACCTTTCGGAGCTGTGTTCGAGTACGGTCAATATGGGGATCTTCCTAGTTTCTTTGTGGCTCGGGAAAACCCTGACAACGTGATCGGGTAAACGAGAGATCATCTCTCTCTTTCTCTTTCTCTCTCTCTCTTTTCTTACTCTACGTCTTTTCAATTTTTCAGCCATTTCAATTTCCTCGTGCAAATTGCATCCGGTATGAAGTATCTGGAATCCTTGAATATTGCGCACTGTGATTTAGCAGCCAGGTAACCAAGTTGTAAGAGAAAGAAAAAGTTGAATCGTTTTGACGCGCGTGCGACGTGATGTTTTAGGAATTGCATCGTTACTCACAATCTAACGATAAAGGTGTCGGACCACGCCATCTACTGTGCCAAATACGATCACCACTACTTCATCGACGGATATAACGTGAAGATTCCTCTTCGTTGGATGGCATGGGAAGCAGTTTTATTGGTGAGCATTTTCTACCACTCGAAACCACTTTTAACGCATATTTAACTTTCTTCTCTCTCAGGGTAAACGTAGTTGTCGAGCCGACATATGGTCGTTCGCCGTGACAGTTTGGGAAATTCTCCTTGACTGCAAAGAGACACCTTACCCGGATTTAACGGTGACACAGGTTCTGGAGAATTGCGGCCGTTGGTACCAAAGCGAAAGTTACGACGTCGGTACTAGTGGCTGGGACGATACCAACGACCAAACAAATCAGCCTCGAATTCTTTTGCAGCCCGATCGTTGTCCAGACGACCTCTATCGCATAATGAACAAATGTTGGAGCAAACGGATCGAGGACAGACCAACCTTCGAACAAATACACCTCTTCCTCGAGAGATTAACGCTCCATTGAGTATGTTCGAGATACTCGTGCTCGAATAGCACGGACCAAACCGATTACAATCAGCTAAGAAGCATCCTGTATGGAAATTTCAACCACTTATACACCGATTACCCTTACATTTATCTTTTACGTTTTCTACTTCTCTTGTATTGCTTTCATCCATTCTGTTCAACAATTCTGATCGTTTGTCTTCTTTTGCCGCCGCCGCCGCTCGTACAAATTCTTCCCTCTTCTACGTTTCAACTGTTTCTCTCTGTCCTTTTCAACTTTTTCAGGATGCTCTGGCCCATTAACTTGTAATGCTCAATTAGGTTTATATTCGAATCGATTTTTCCGCATATAGAAGCATGTACATAGAGTACGCGCGCGCGCGCACACACACACACACACACGCGCGCGCGCGAACACACACACACACACACCCATCATCGAATGCATGTTTTTCGTGATTGAAAAATACAAAAGTCAGTACTTTAACAGAAAAGATTGTATGCTTGTCTCTTCTTCGGCCATCGAAAATTGGATATGATAGACGTAAACGTCGACGATTCGTCGTAGTAATCGCGATTTTTACTTTAGTTTCGAAAGCTTCAGAAACAAGTAGACATCGCGATTGCGTCGATTCAGATGTCCAAAACTTGGAACATTTTTTAACGTTTGATATTGTGTACGATAATGCTCGCTCTGTGTGTGAATACGCGATGTTGCATAAGTAACGTACATAAGTAAGATATACAGATTTTGAAAAACGTGCGCGACAAGACGCGTAAATTTTTAAAGGAGCGAATGCGAATGAATGCGGGAATACACGAAAACGAACCTTCTATTATTCTGTGAAAGAGAACGAGAGCGAGAGTGAGAGAGAAAATTTGCGCGCGTTACTACAAAACTAAATGGGACAATCAATTTTGCGAATGTTGTTTCGTATATTCGAGAGATAATCGTCGATCGATTTGCTATCATTTGCCGAATATTATACGATATTATACGAAGAGCTCTACTATACGTGTATAGTACTAGCACGACATTCCAGTAGGAATGCTCGTCAACTTGTAAGGTTTGCAACGCGCCTATACGTTTCTACGTAACATTTTTTTCAAATCAAATCTACGATTACGATTAGTCGATCGAAATTTGTAATACAAATCATACGTATCTCATTAAAAATTATATTCTTCATATTTCCAACGTGTTACGGTGAATAAAAATTGTTATAAACTATGTAAAAAACTAAGCTGTGTTGTTGTGGTTTACTGTTACGGAATTTTGATCGGCACCAAAGGAACGATGTTCATCTCTCGATGAAAATCAGCGATAGGCTGTTCCCAACGTTCCTCGAAGTAAACTCCCAAGAGAAATTTTGCCCGAATTCCCGTGTTAATAGCCCATGGGAGATGATGTTCGAGATATAATTTCCTTTGCCTGTAACGCGAAAGAGAAATCGGACTGTTGGTGGTTGGCTGGGTAATCGAGTGAGACGCAGTAATGCGTGCGTTCCTTCCCTTTACCTTAGTCGCAAACGATACGCTCCGAATATCGCTCCGCTCAAGCACATTGGCAAACGTAATTGCAATGCTTCTATCCACTTGACGGACACTTCTCCGAGCATGGTTGTCGGCATTAGCAGTATGGCATGAAAGATATCGTGCGTTTCTCGGTATCGTTGCATTACGTACGCTAATTCGGCATCTTGGACGAATCTGACCGGTGTTCTAGAATCAGGCGAGACGTTCTGCAACAGATGAGGAGAATATGCTTCGTTGTTGGACACCTCTCGCTCCACCAAACACTCGCTCGCCAAACGGGCCAACGATATATCTATGTACACCGCTTAGCTTACGTTCACGTCCAAGAAATCGCGATAAATCCTGCCTACGGTTCCCTCCGGTAAACCTTTCAACGCGGACAAATCGATCGTCGAGGAGGATATGCGTGGCTTTTCGGCAAGGATACGACGTCCCTCGGCGGTTGCCATCATTTCCCGTAGACAATGAGAAAGGGCCGAGGCGCCGGTCGTTTCCCCCAGGCATGCGATCATGTCACCGCGAAACGGATTGGCCAACGATATCGCGGCCGCGCCACCCGTCAACACCGCACGCTGCATCCAAGACAGGGATACGCGATGCTTCGCGTAATCCTCCGTGAACGAGCAAAACTTCCGCCGAATCGGCCATCCTGAAACAACTGACCGAGGACAATGACACATGATCCATCCGTTTCTTTTCTCCACAAATTCACAATTTATTTTTCACTAAAATACTTATGTGCACATGCGTTACTGCTCGACATAGCATACCTATCAAAAATCTATGTACAAGTCGTACTTTAGATCGCGAACGCGTTGCGTTGCGTTTACCGCTATATGCCCACGCAACAGTCGATACACCCGGTTGGTTGGTTAATCCTATCCGGTAACGATGTTTTCGCTTTGGTACGGTATATTATAATTATGACTATTACACACTTTGCTACGCGTCATTTCCCCATTCCCATCCCGCAACCGCTTTAGCAACCGAGAGGATACGGACAAACGATAGACAGAAAAAAAGGAGAAGAGGGATGCTGAGAAAGGGGGGATGGGGAGGGAGGGGAGAGAGAGAGAGAGAGAGAGAGAGAGAGAGAGAGAGAGAGAGAGAGAGAGGAGAGCGAGAGAGAGAGAGAAGAGTGCGTGGCGGTAAGGCAATGAACGCGTGGTGGTACGAGTGTTGAACGAGTATATACACAGCTTGTTTATACAGCTTGCTCTTTGATCGTTTGGACGTCGGAAAGCGGAGAATACTTTGGTTCGGTCGATTCCCTCCTTCGAAAAGTCAGCCAGGTGTAAACCAAACTGCCAACTACGCTTAAATTCAGTCCTATGAAATTCAGCCACGTAAAGATGTAATCACCACCGATGATCATTCCAAGATACGTGACGCATATGTTTTTCAGACATCCAATTATGGTTGTGGTCAACGCAGAATTGTTAAGTGTACAAAGAATCATGCTATAGTGCAGCACAAAGCCCATTACGCACGAAAGCCCAAACTGTACAAGAAAGAAGACATTGTTCCAATGTGGAAACTCGAGGACGGGAAGCGCGTCTCCCATCCAGCAGGAGACAGCGATCGCTGGGACAATCATAAATAACGAATTATAATACATCAGTCCGTATTTTCCTAGTTCCTTCGAGTCCAGCTTCTTCTTCATGTATACACCGTTGGCGGCCGTGAACAAATCGTTTAACAGGATAAACAGATAGCCCTCCAAATTGAAAGCAAGATCGTTTAATGCCGCCACCACTGCCCCAAGAATCATCGTGTAAACGCTCAGCTGAATGGGGATGCGCGCCTTTGCTCCGAGAATATAATATTCGGCGATCATCGTCATAAGGATACTAAATCGCCTAAGGGCGGTGAACATCGGAAGGCTGAGCTGTTTCGTACCACCTAATCCAAAGATCATGTTACCGATGTAAATGATCGGTAATGGCCATATCTTCACACACGTTGCCGTTTCCAGGTTAGAAAATTCTACGTAACGCAACTTTTTTGCAGTGAAAAGTAACACGATGGTAGCTAACATCTGTCCTATGCCAAGCATTTGAAACGACGGAAATTCAAACGACGTCAACACCGTCTTATTTACAACCGTGATCATGAACGAAGATAACCCGTAAAACACAGCCGAACCGATCCGCGCGAACATCACATTTTGATGATTCCACAGCATACCGATCGATCTAGTCCTCTCTTATTTTGTCGCTATTTGATTTATTTCTGTCAGCTCTGGTGAAACATACACTGGTATAACCTTATCATTCTTCTTCCCCTCTTCGGTCTTTCGTTCCGTTTCGTACAGATGATCGCCAACGACAATCTTCGATCGCACACTAAATCGGACTTATACGTAGTACTGATCGAAATCACGAATCAATCTTATTGTATTTTGTTCTGCAGAACGTGTCAACGTACTCTTGAGTGCTTATTTACGTGCTTTCTTCATCTCCTTTCCCTTCTAGTGTTCCTCACCGCTGGCACACGCGTTTCTTTTCATCTACTTCCTTCACCTCTACCACTTCCTCTTCTTCCGCCTCCTCCTCCACCACCGCCTCTTTCTCTTTTCTTTCTTCTATTCTCCTTTTTTAACCCATTATGTTTGTTTCCCACGAACGCAACTATACTATTCTAAGCTGCGCGTTTTACATCAGATTACCCGTCACATATGATTCACTTGATCGAAGGTTAGAATCTGGTTGCGTTTCTCTCTCTCTCTCTCTCTCTCTCTCTCTCTCTCTCTCTCTCTCTCTCTCTCCCCCCTCCCCCTGCCACTGATTCACTCACGCTCTCTCGCTCTCTCTCCCCTCCTTCTAACGATGACATTGTTTCCAAACGAAGATTAACCCTATGAATGAAATGTTATTAAAGCGAATTAAAAAGGTTTCACTCTCACCGGTCCATGTATTTCAGCAAATTTACATTGTTTATTATTTACATTTGAACAGAACTCTGAACCGTCTCTTAATTTTCACACTACTGTCAACTACTGTTCTTTCACTAAACACAAGTATTTAGAGTATGCAGAGGAGAAAATTCAGCCTAAAATAATAGGTATTGGTTTAACTAATGATTAATTCTGTAATTAAAATAAATCTATATTTATATACGTTTAATCGATCATTGATATATCGTTTATTATATTAATTACACGATCACGAACGCCTTTTCACGCAAGAAATGAAACTCCCTTTTGAAGAATAACGAATCCGTGAAACGCCACCTTGCGATTTTACTTGTCTAAACTTTGATCACATGTCGATGCGTTTAGGATTTCCGTGTCTATCTTCGGTTTTGACAGTGAGAGTTTCGACTCAATAACACTTATGCGAGTATAGGGTTTGATAGTCTAGTGAAATTATTTGAAGTTTCGGCGCAATGTGCGTCTGTCCAAAATTGTATTACATAACGCGGAACAAAAATTGTAATAACGAAAATATGCTATGATGCAAGTTGTGTACTTCGTTTAGAAGTAATTACGATACGGATTCGAATTGTCTTTTTCGTTATTGATATAATGAAATTATAATCGAGGACGAACGGACAGGTTTTTACATTACTTTCAGAATGAGAAAAAGGAAACGTTAATCATTATAGGACTTGTGTTTTACCATGTTATTTATTTTTTACTCGATAAGGACCTGCCGAAACATATGTCTGTCACCGTTGAAATTCTCCATTGCTATGGTATATCTAATAACTGTCGATAAATCCGAATAAGTTACAAGCTTTCGAAACTTTGGTTAATTGTACGGCGACAATTCTGTTGTAGTACTCTACCGAGGCCACATCGAACGTGAAAAAATTCTCCTCTGCGCAAAAGGATCTACGTTTGCCGGATGCGAAATGTTTTAAAAGTCGGACGATATCACCAAATGTTGTTACATCCGCTGATCATTGGAGGACAGCTCAGCGTGTAGGCGCAGCGAATAATGTAATCGTGCAGAAAGATTTGTACGGGAATAATGAGGAGGAATGGCAATGCATGAAACTAGATTCTGGCAATCTTGGAAAACATTGCTTCATGTTATCCAAGATAAGACTAACATGTAAGAGAAACTGACATCTTTTTGCTACTTTCATACTTGACGTACGTGTGTAACGAATCGATAATAGTACTATCACTTTTAGCTTTGGTAGTTGTAACAACCATGGCTGGGTACGTGTTAGCTCCTGGACCTTTCGACCTTTTCACATTTGCGGCATGTTCCATAGGCACTGGACTAGTTTCTGCTACAGCAAATACTGTTAATCAATTTTTCGAAGTTCCCTTTGACGCGCAGATGTCAAGAACAAAAAACAGGGTGTTGGTTAGAGGTCATTTAACGTACGTACAATACAGTTGCAATTGTGGGAAAGCTAACGTCAGCATGGTAACTGTAATAAAATACTTCCATTAGGCCTGGGCATGCTGCAATTTTTGCAACAGTGTCTGGCTTCAGTGGATTATTACTGCTGTACAGCGAAGTTAACGGATTAACAGCTGCTTTGGGAGCAACCAATCTGATTCTTTACACTCTTATTTATACTCCCATGAAACGTATCAGTATATTAAACACTTGGATAGGCTCTATAGGTGAGTATATCGTGATCTCCTCTATTATTACATTTTAGTATTATTGGCAATTCTACGCGGGAGAAGATATGACATACCAGCTTTTATTCAGTTGGAGCGATACCACCGTTAATGGGCTGGACCTCTTGCGTCGGCGATGTAATGTCCCCAGATGCCTGGATAATGTCTGGCTTATTGTACGCATGGCAGTTTCCTCATTTCAACGCTCTATCGTGGAATTTGAGACCGGATTATTCGCGTGCTGGTTATAGAATGATGGCAGTTACAAATCCAAAACTTTGTCGCAAAACAGCGTTACGTTATACTGTTGTGTTAATGGGCCTGTGCTATTTGGCACCTATTTTGAACATAACAAATTGGTGGTTTGCCATGATGTCAACACCACTTAACGCATATTTTCTTTATCTCGGTATGTTAAAGATATACATGGAACGTTATAGTTGAGGATGGTAAAAGTAGGATCCTCTTGGTCGTAAGAATTATCGAACGGAATTTTGTTTTTCTAGCCTGGCAGTTTCATAAACACTCAGATAGTAAAAGTTCGCGCAAACTCTTTCGATTTTCATTGATACATCTACCTGTTCTCATGGTTCTTATGCTTGTAAATAAGAAAGAATGGCACAAGAAGCAAGAGGATACGATACACGAGGAAGGAAAGGGAAGCAATATTTACGCCATTCTAACGAAAGTGATCCCATCGGTACAATTTTGAACCGTTCAGCGTGAACGACAGTTTTGAAAATAACCTTGATATTCAATTCGCGAAATCGTTCAAGAGGTGTAATACGTTGTACAGAAAGATGAGTCCGTGTGAAACTTGACAAACTGTTTTGTAGCATAAGTTGTTAATAGTACTAATTATTAGCTGCGACCATTATATTCGTAAATGATTACAAAGCAATTGTTTACAAATAACTTGTATATTTTATATCGTTGTCGTTTTATGTAGCATTCGATAGTGAAAAGTTGAAAGCCGGACATGGCGTATAGGATTACGATCGCTCAATTTGAAGATATACTTATTAATTTTAGTCACCCGAAACGAAAGGGAAGGAAAGGTTAATCGATCACACAATAGAGGAAATAACGTACACAGAACATGTTCACGTGCACATGTATACGTATATATTTATTTAACTTTTATTTATAATTTAGAATATCGAACATTTGGATCATATCGTATCTTGGATAGTTTTTCGTTTCGCAGCAAATTCTATCGCCATTTGTCTTCTAGTTTTAGTTAAATTTCTGTGTCCGATGCAATCTAGGTTTTCCGTGAAACACTTATTTCTGCAGCATTGTCGGCATAACTTGTGAACACATTTGAGACCCTGGGAAGGAAATGCGGCGATGAAGTTAACAAGTTAGTCAGTGAGAGGGGATAAGATGGAACGAGGAGAAATAAAGTTCTGAAACAAACCACTGGATTTGGACAATCGCGACACAAATCGGATCCTCGTTTGACGAGGGCGGCTGGTCTGTTTGGACGACGCGCTATCCGTCTAAGCTTCTTCAAGCGTTTCCGTGATATTTCGTTTCCTTCTTCATCTCTGAATTTCCTTTTTACCGTTTCATTTTGCTATGGAGGGAGGGAGGGAAGGGCAAGAGGGAGGGGCGGGAATAAATAAAAAGTAAGAATTTCATAAAAGAAGAATAAGCTAAAGGTGTTTGCACGGTGTGATATGAAATAGATTTCCGATAAACTAACCGTTTCGATTTTGTCCATTTCTAGCCTTTGCACATGCTCTTCCGGAGGGTGACGTACATACGGCTGACACAGCCATGGTGGTAATTTTAAGTTATAATCTGTAAATATGAAAACACGGGATATATACAGATATAACGGGTTATAGGTTGTAGGGAGGAGATTTTCGAAGAAGAAAGAGAAAGTTAGCGGTGTGTCTGCTGCGTGTGTATGGATAAGTATAAGAGGATTTATTGTATTTACGAGTAAAATGGCAGAGTGAACAAACCAGATGTCCCTTGATGCCATGTTAAACGTCCTTCGTGATATGGTATGTATCGATTCCTGAGAGCGTATACGACACTTTTGAAAGATTCCATGGTAGAGTTTCTGGCCAAGTTTTCCCTCTCTTCTTTATTTTCTGCTAAACAAAGTCTACTCTCTAGTTAAAAGAACGCTGAATACATAAGTCGATTTGTAATTGTAATTGTAATTGTAATTTAAGTAAGATAGCATTTGCATGCAAGAGAAAAGTGGATAATCGTACGTTGACAAAGCTGATACGTACGTATGTTGAAACAATTTAAAGAGGTGGCCACGGATGTAAGAGGCCGGTGCGGGATAACGTTCAACCAAATCTAAATATTCTAACGCTGGTTCCCAACAAGGTGGATACTGGGCCTCGAATATATACGGATTATACAGATTTCCTTCCGCAGACATTACACCGTGAACACCGGTTTCTTCTATGCACCTTTCAACGTCTTGCAAACACTGTATGTTGCCGTTGGCAAATACTGGAATCGCGACGGCCTGTCTAAACCGTATGGAGAGAAAGGGGTAGAAGGAACAACGGTGGAGGAGGAGAAGAAGAAGGAGGAAATACATTTGAGTTTTACGGTAGAACACGTTCGTCGATTATACCTAACGGCTTTGATATGATCCCAAGATGCCACACCGGTCAACGGGCCCTTCTGTTCCCGGGTTCGTCCATGCACGGTGAGTAACCGTGCTCCAGCGGTCTCGAGCATTCGAGCGTACTCTACAGTTTTCTCGATCTCCGCGAATACGCGTAGCTTGCAAGTAACAGGCACACGAAGACCCTTGCTCAAGGTACTTACTGTAATATTTTGTGAAGAAAGAGAGGAGGAGCGAAGAGAAAGGAGGGGGGAGAGAAAGAGAGAAAAGAGAATGAATCGAAGCGAGAAAAAGTATCGAATATGCAGTTTATCTTACGAACCGATTCGTCGAAGCAAATCCCAGTCATCTTGAAGGAAAGCACCGTATCGACCACGTTTCGCGATCGCTTGGGGGCAACCGATGTTTATATCTATCGCGTCGCAATACGGCTCTGCCAAGAGTGCCGCCTCCAGTAGCGTGTTTGGATCGTTGCCGCAAAACTGCAACGAACGATTACTCTTAAATAAACAAGTATCACCCTGCCTACATAGGCAGTTGTATTACCTGTACGATCAACGGCCGATCTTCGGCAGTACTAACAAGGGCTTCTCGCCGATATTTCGGATCCCTGCAGAACACCGAAGAATGAAGCATCGGCGTGTAACAAAGCTGCGCTCCGTGTCGGCGACTCAATAACCTCCAGGCTAACTCGCTTGCATCGACCATCGGTGCGATTACGTAGCGTGGTGAGCTTAACAGGCTTTCCCAAATGTTGCTCTCTCGTGTAGCGCAATCAGTAACTTCGCTGAACGACGGTTTCGCTGAAATCGATGACATCTACGAAGAGAACGCATCCCTCACTTTAAACGCGAGTAGCAAAAATTTCCATTACACAGTATCGTTCCATCAAGCACCACAAATTTTCTCTCTCGATCTGCTGTAATCAAGGCAACTTACATGGTGTTAAGAGGTATGGAGTGTTAGTCGATCGATTAGTCAACGAATCTCAGATATTCGGTGAAGACGAGAGGAATCGATCGATTTGCGGAGAGGAAAGAGGACGCGGCGTAAAAGAGGGCGAACGAATGGAACGGATAGAAGAGGCGGAACAAGGGGAAAGAGAAGAATCGGGTGATCGTGGCGTAGCAGGTTTGGAGAATTCCGATTCCAATATAGGAGAGAGTTTGGCCGATTGCGCAATGTGCGACTTGATTTTGGTGGTTGGTCTCTTTCGGAAGGAGAAACGACGCGTGCCGTGTCTTCTGTTTGCAGATGATCCGATCGAGGATTTCTGCGCTCGATCGCAATAGAAATCGGCCGAGTGCGAGGTTAACGATCGATCCAACGGAGGAAGTTTCGAAGGTGGTGGCCGTTGGGGTGCGGTAATTGGAAACGGTTCGAGAGGGACGGTGTTTGTCGGTGTACGACCGGAGTCGGTGCCAATCATTCTTTTGTCACAGTTAAACGAGTGCACTGAGTTCGCGTCAACGGATCGTTGTCGATTTTTCCTCCTTTTCGTC